TTGTGAACCCCACGTACTTGCTTCTCCTTCCCTGATCCCTCTTGGTAAGGCTGGGCCTGGCCTGCTGGCTTTGCTCCCACAGAGGGCCCGCACACAATCAGTGGGGCAGTCCCTTTGCATCCTGTCTGGAGCTGATCTGGGTTCCCAGCACCCTCTAGAGCCTCAACCTCCCCTCTAGAGCACGTCTAACACCACAAAGCCAGCCTGGAGCCCATGCCCCAGGCTGTGCAGTGGCAGCGAGGGCGCCTAACTCAGGGCCCCGAAGCCCTCTCCCAACAGGTTGCCCGGGCTCTTTGAGACCCACCTCGATAACCCGGTTGCTCCGGATCTTCTCCTCCAGCTCTGAGAACGACCTGGAGGCAAAGGGGGGCTGCCCGAAGAGGGCTTCTGTGGAAGGGAGGCAGAGGGCAGGCTGGGAGGGGACAGGGTCAAGCCTGGCCTGGCCCACACCTTGGGGTCGGGGGGCTGACACCTCTCATGGCAGGGACTCCGGGCCTACAGAGTCACATTCATTAGAACCCCTCAACAGGGGCCCTAGAGAGGTCTTGCCTGAGGACACATAGTGGAGGTCCGGGGGTTGGGGCTGGGGACAAAGCTCTCACCGTACAGGATGACCCCCACGGACCAGAGGTCCACACGGGCATCGTACTGCCGCTGACACACCATCTCGGGGGCCATGTAGAGCGGGGAGCCACGGAGCACGTGCTTCTCGTCCCAGGGAGACATGTGCTGTGCGAAGCCAAAGTCTGCGGGCAAGAGGCCGGGCAGCAGGGTCCGATTCTAGCTGCTGCAGCTCCTGCCCTTTAAAGCTTCACCCTGTGCTCCAGGGCAGGGCTCCTCCCCACCCGCCAGGCTCGCCGGTCTCACCGGGATCAATCCTACTCTGTGGCTTTTGCTCAGCCCCTTTCTCTCCAAATTCTAAAGCCTAAAACGCCCTCCTCTATCTTCCTCTGGGAGAAAGCCCCCTCAGGCATCTTTTTCCAGGAAGCCCACCCTGATCGCATCAGCTATGAGGATAAGGGCCCACCAGGAGTTAGAAGCTGAGGTTTTGCCTTGCTTTCTGGCTTCCCAGCCTCAAGTCCATTCTTGGCCACAGCCACCTCCACCCGCCTATCCTCCAACACTGTCACAGACTGAGTGACATGTTGAGCCCCAACCCTGGGGACAGACCAGTTCCCAACCCTGCTCACACAGTGAGTCCTTCCTGTCGTCACACATGGAGTTCTAACCCTGACCCCAGACTGAGCCCTGGCCCCATCCAGTCCGTTGCTGGAGTCGAGTGAAGGGAGCCTGAGAAACATCCTGCCTTTTGGTGGCAGGCCTGTCCCTGCATTTCCCAGCCTGTCATGGCTTGATGACTCAACAGAGGGTGCCATGAGAACTAGGGCTGCTGAGCGAGCCTGGGCAGCATGAGGCCCCTGTACACCCACCTTCCAAACCTCATCCCTGCTGTTCCAGACTCACACCTGCCAGTTTAAGATGGGGCTTCTCCAAGGAGCTCAGCAGAATGTTCTGTGGCTTCAGATCCAGGTGAGAAATATTCCGTTCATGCAGGAACTGCAGGGCACTAGCTGGGGCATAAGACCCACACGGAGAAACAGGTCAGAGAAGGCCATCCCTCACCTGCCTCTCGCCACCCCACCTGCGCCCCTGCCAGCCTTATATCTGCCCCTTCAAGCCTGCCCAACTGGACTTCTACACTGGCTGCTCTACCAAATGTTTTAATACTTAAATATCAGGTTCCTGCCACTTCTAAGAATTTGCCCCCTATCCCCTTGACCCCTTCGCAAGTCCCCTCCCCCTCCTAGAAGCCTCCCCAGTCCCCCAACCCTTAAAGTCTTGTTCTTTTCCTTGGCACAGCACTTGAGTCCTACCCTTAGGCCCTGGAACATTCTATGAGTTCCTTGTATCATGTTCCATGTGTGGAAACCCGAACTCCCCACAAACAAGGGTTCCCCTCTCTCTCTCATGTCATCCTTAAGTCAGGATAGGCATGTGGGAAAGATGGGGCCCTAACAATACAAGCTGAAGCAGAGACAGCTACTAAGAACGGTTCTAAGCCTGCAGTGGGAGGTTGAGGGGGGCAGAGATCACGAGAAGGGGTGTCAGGCGGGGGTCCGAGGCTTTTACCCAACTGCTGCATGAAGACACGGGCCACCTTCTCAGGCAGAATTCTGCGGGTATGGATGAAGCGAGACAGGTCACCCCCTGCGCAGAACTCCATGATGAGGTAGATGTTGTCGCTGTCCCACTGCAGTTATAGAGGCAGAGAGGCAGCTTGAAGAGAATGTCCCTTCTCTAGCTCCCTTTGGGGGTGGCCCCACCCCAGACCCGCACCTGGAAGTCTTTCAGCTGTACAATGTGGGGGTGTCGGATGCCCTTGAGGATCTCAATCTCTGTCAGGAGGTTCTCCACAGATGCCTTGTTGAGACTCTTCTTGGCCACACACTTTATGGCTACCACCTCACGGGTGTCCTTCTGTGGAGACAGGAGATTTGAGGTTTCTGCCTTGAGAGGAAGAGAGCCCATGCCGGGCCCTCCTGCTCCATCACTGGGCCTCCCCACTCACATCAGCCTCCAGGCTTCCCAGCTTCCCCTTCCCAGGCCAGGGAGGCACTGGGATTCTGGAATCCCGGGCTCCCCACCCAGTCTAATGTTCTCCATAATCGATTTCATTGTATTCTAGAGCGCCCCCACGAAGGTGTGTCATTCAGTGTTCTAGAGCGGCGCACTCCGATTCCTAACTGTGTCCAACCTTCTAGAACCCTGTCCCAGACTCCTTCCAGCCCAAGGATCCTCCCTGTTCTGCTCCTATCCTACACCTATCTGCCAGCGACACCGAGCTTCACCGAGGCCTCCACCTGCCTCTCCAGACAAAACAGGGCTGTGTGGGCGTGCGTTTTTGTTTTTAAAACCTAAGGGTGGCAGACAGCTCCCAGCTCCTCCACCGAAGCGCGTCCGGCCGCGGGCCACTGCTCGCACGCCGCAACTCGCCTCTCTCTAGCAGGACGCCCACCTGGGTTCGCTCGGGATCTGGCGGGCACAGGGGCAGGGCCCTCACTGTTTCCCCAGCCCCGTCCCTGCCCGGCGCGGGGGTCCCCAGGGCGCCCTGCCCCGCACCCACCTTGGCGTAGGCTTTGTACACCGTAGCGTACGTGCCGCTGCCCAGGCGTTCGGTGAGGATGAAGCCGTCCAGCCGCGGGGGACCCCAGGCGGGCCCCGCCATCCCCGCCGCCCGGTGCCCGCCGCTTCCTGCTTCCCCGCGCCGCGTTCCGGCGCTCAGCCCTGCGGTCAGGGCACGCAGCCGCGGGCCGGACTCCACGCTGCCCCCAGCGCCGCCCGCCGGGACTGCAGCGCGCTGGGCGGGGCGCTATCTCGCCCGGCCCCCACGGTCCCGCCTCCCCCAGGTGCTCCAGGTGCCCTTCCGGGTGCCACGCCACTGGAGATCCCGTAGTGGGAGCACCGAGGCTCCCTGCGGTCCGAGGCCAGCTAGCGAGGTCGCTAGGAGGGGGGACGGGGAAATCCCACCCAGAATTTATGGCTCACATGAAGGGCAAGGGGGGAGGAGTCGGGCAGAGCAGGTGTGCCCGGTAGGGGGTAAGAGTCAAAGAGGCTCCCCAGGCTGCCTCTCGGGCTCAGAACCACCGGCTCTAAAGCAGAGATACTGGGACAAGAAGGTGCTTTTGGCTAAGTAGTGTCAAGAAGGCGCTTGGCCCCTTCCAGACCAGCCAGAGCAGGGGGGCCAGATGTGGAATCTTGAGTCTTCACACTAACCACGGCAGCAGCTAACTCAGTGCAGGCTCTGTTGGCCACTCCCATCCTCCCAAGTCCACCAGATATGAGGACCAGCGTTGTCTGAAAATGTCTTGTTTTTATTTAAAGCACAAAAATTGAGACATAACATATACATTTGTACATGAAGAAAAAAATACCAGAAAGTGTACAAAACCTTGGTCACTGCCATGATCAGTGGCTCTGGGGCTGAGTGGGCGGGCAGTCTGCACACTGCCTGGGGTGGGCCCCAGGTCCCAGGCACAGGCAGTTGGCCAGCTTTTTGAGAAGTCCCCTCAGACCACACACCTGCCCCTGTAGGTGGCCTTTAGAGGACAGGGTACAGGTTTTATCTGTGGACTCCCAGGCGCCCATCACACGGGACACACCTGAGGAATCCCCAGGACCAGTGACAGGTGACCTAGGTTCCATGGCGGGGGGGGGGGGGGGGCGGGGTACAGGGAAGCCCTCAGTAAAGTGGCTCATCAGTCCAGCGAGAGGGATGCAGTTCTGGACTGATTCTTCTGCCCCCCAGAAGAGTCATACACACGAGATATTGCTGAGGGGAGAAGGCAGAGTGGGGAAGAAGCTGAGGCCATGGCTAAGGGCCACTGACCCTCAGGAGAAGAGGATATCGAAACAAGGCCAAACCACACCAGGATAGTCAGACTCCACCCCCCTAGACAACTGTCAAAGGCTGGGCAAAGGACTACTTGGGGTCAATGTCCTCCATCCCTCTCCATCCCCGAATCCCAGCCAAACCCACTGCACATTCAATAAGTCAACAGAGGGGAGAGGGCAAGGGCTCAGAGAGGGCCCCAGAGGGCACACATGCCTGCCACACCAGGAAGGTGCAGGGGGCACTAAAGGGCTATAAATCTGGGAGAAACAGAAGGCAAGGAAGAGCCTGGGAGTGACCGTGTCAGAGGCTCTGGAAGCCCAGAGACCACCTCAGAGTGATCTGGGGAACAGAGCTTTCCATCCACCTGGACTGCAGCTCATCTAAAGGGGGGCCTGGGGAGACTACTCCTGCCTAGGCAGGAGAGAAAGGCAGGACTGTGGAAGCCAAAGGCGGGGCCTGTGGAGCCAGATGCAGGCCAGGCCTGCTAGGGGAGGAGTGGAGTCCCAGGACCCTGGCAGAAATAAAACTGCAGCTGGCATGGGCCCAGGTCAGCTGGTGATCCCAACTGTGTACACCTATGTGATGTGTGTGGGTGTGTGTGCGTGTGCACGCGTGCATGTATCTGTGTAAGGGGAAGTGAACTACAGTCCCACTGCTTTGAACCTACCAAACCACCACCAGGAGAAGGAAAGACAGCTTTTTTTTTTCCTTTTTTCTCTTGTGTAAAAAAAAAAGTCCCTGTCCCTCCCTCCCCTCCCCTCAGGCAGAATGGAGAGCTGGTAGCTGAGGAAGGAGGAAGGACTGTGCAAGACCCTCCCAGGTCTGTGCTGGGCATAACCACTGTTTAAGGCACCCACGGAAAGTGCAGCTAGAAGGCAGGCGAGAGAAAAGGCTGGGGTAGAGGAAGGAGAGTCAGGAGGACTAGTTCCCCTGGAAGGCTCCTCGGGCAGCAGATGAGGCGGCACTGCGGAAGGTCCTGTTGCTGAAGATGCCCTGGGAAAACTCCTCCTGGGCCTGCTGGAAGCTGGCCCCCGTCCGGCGGTACAGGGAGTGTACCTGGGGAAAGAGGCTGCAGTGAGAAGTGAGCCCTGGGGACCCGCCTGACCTCCCACCCAGAAACTTGGTGACAACAGTCACTGGATCTCCGGGGCCCAGGAGCGGGGAGCCCAACTGCCTCCAGGGATGGGCATCCCTGAGGCGAAGGCAGGAAAGAGCTGCCTTCTTCCTCCGGCTGCTGTTGGCCCAGCACCCACCACTCACCCGCTTCAGAAGGAAGAGTGAGAGCACAGCACACAGGGTGAAGAAGCCAGCCACCACCATCATGATGATTGACACAGCCAAGTGGTCTTGCTTCAGCGTAGACAGGGCTGCGATCCAGCCACTGCGAAGGCGGGGAAGGAGGAAGCCAGAGGGGACACAGTGAGAGGGGGCCCCAGAGGTCCCCATGAGGGGCTCTTCAAGTGGCCGCTGTAGACTGACCGGCCACCACCAGGCACCTCCCTGTGGCACAGAGCCATGGGCCAGAAGCCCTTGGGCTGTGAGAGCCCAGGCCTCTGTGAAGGCTGACAGGCCCCATGCTGCCCCCTCAGACAGGAGTGGTCCAGCAGAGGGCCTTTTCCTGCCACTCTAGGGGACATGGAAAGCCTGACTGCTCACTCCCAAAGCCCAGCCCCGGGAAGGAGGACCACTGGCCAACCCACTGCATTCATCCTGTCACCTCAGCAACTCCTGCCAGGACCCAGGGCAGCCCCTCTGCCTCCAGTCAGTCATGTCGCCTTTCTGAGCCCCAGTGTCCTTATCTCTAAGAGGGGATAGTCTCCCATTTCTGGACTTAAAACTTACTACAAAGCCACAGGTCTCAAAACAGTGCCGTACTGGCACAAGGACATGCAGATCAATGGAAAAGAACTGAGAGTCCAGAAACAAACTGATACATCTACCATCAACTGATTTCTTTTTTTAAAAATATTTTTATTATCCTTTTATAGATTTTATTTATTTATTTGACAGAGGGAGAGGGGGAAGCAGGCTTCCCGCTGAGCAAGGAGCCGGATGGGGGGGGCTCAATCCCTGGACCCTGGGATCATGACCTGAACCAAACGCAGAGGCTTAATCCACTGAGCCACCCAGGCATCCCCATCAACTGATTTCTGACAAGGGTGCCAAGATACCTATCTTTTCAACAAATGGCGCTGGGCAGCCACACGCAAAACAAAGAAGCTGGACCCTGACTTCAGCCAGGCACAAATCTAACTCAAGATGGATCAGAGACCTAATACGAGCTAAAGCTAGAATGCTTAGAAGAAAAGAGTTCATGACTCTGGGTTTGGCACTGGTTTTAGATATGACACCAAAAAAACATAAGCAACAAAAGAAAGAAATTGGACTTCATCAAAATTAAAACTTGTGCATCAAATGACAGTATCACAGAATGAAAAAATAATATAAAGAAGGGGGGGAAAATGTGTTAATCTGGTAAGTTCATATCCAGAATATATAAAGAACTCGAAAACAAAATGGCAACCCAATTACCAGAGGAAGACCTGAATAGACATTTCTTCAACGAAGAAACACAAATGGCCAAAAAGCACATAAAAGATGGTCAACATCATTAGTTATTCAGGAAATGCCAATCAAAAACCACACTCGGGGTGCCTGGGTGGCTCAGTTGGTGACACACCCTGGGTTTTGGTCTCAGGGTCGTGGGTTCAGGCCCCATGCTGGGCTCCATGTTGGGTATGGAGCCTACTTAAAACAAACAAACAAACAAACAAACAAAAACCCACCACAGTGAGATACACCTCTAGGCTGGGAACACAACAAAATAAAATACGCACTGGTGAGGCTGCAGAAAAATAAGAGCCCTCGTATACTGCCAACGGAAATGGTGTGGCCATATGAGAACCCTCCTACCCCGTGGCCACCCCACCACAGACTTAACACGTGACCCAGCAATTCCACTCCAGATACATACCCCAAAAGAACCCAAACCAGGTATTCAAAGGCTTGTACAAAGATGTTCATAGCAGCACTGTTCACAACAGCAAAAAGGTGGAAACTACCCCAGGGTGTGTCCACTGATGAACGGACAAGCGGATGGAAGAGTACTTCGTAAAGAGGAGGGAAGTACTGAGCCATGTTATAGCGTGAACCTTAAAAACATCACACTGAGTGAGGCCGGCGTAAAAAGCCCCATACTGTATGGTTCCATTTAGACCAAATGTCCAGAGAAGGCAGATCCAGATAGAGAGAGAGCGCGCGAGAGAGAGTGAGAGAGCAGCTTCATGGCTGGCAGGGGCTCCAGGAAGGAGGGAGCAGGATGCCTGCTAAGTACAGTCTCCTCTCAGGGTGACGCAAATGTCCTAGAACTAACTGGTGGATGGGGCCGCCTAACACTGTGGACCTACTAAACACCACTGAATTTTTTACTTTAAGATGTGTTAAGGGATCACTAAAATAAATTTTATGTTCTGTGCATTTTATACTTGATAACAAGAAAGGGGGTGGTCTATCCACCCAGCCGCGGGGGTCGGGAGGTGAGGTGGGGAGGCGCTGGGAAGCCAGAGGCTGCCGAGCTTGTGAGGGGGCAGGACGGGGGGCGGGCTCGGACCAGAACGCCAGCCTTCTGACTCCCAGCCTGGGAAGCAAAGAGCACTTACGCGACAGTCTGTCTTCCAGGATCTCACTGAGGGTAGTGAGTAATGACATTTTCAAAGAGAAAGGGGCAAGCCCAGAAACAGCAGGGCGAGATGGATGAGGGGTGGCGGGAGGGCAGCGGGCACGCTCGGAGCGCAAGGTGAGTCAGGCCCCTCCCTCCGCCCTGCATTTGCCAGCTCCGCTGGAGGGAAGGGACCAAAGTAGTGCAGCCCTTCCAGGCTCAGGCTCTCAGCCAAGCGGCTGCCTGACCTTTCTGTAATGTCCCCTGTGCACTGGGGCAGAAAGGAAAACCTCAGCTGGCAGCTTTTCTTTTTGAGGCTAATTTTGAGCCGAGGACTCCAGCACCCAGGAAACTCAAGCCGGCTCTGTGCTCAAAGCCAGTCCAGAGGGGCTGGGGCTCCAGCTCCTGACATTACAGGGTCTCTGGACAAAGTCACAGCACCAAGTCCACAAAAGGCCAGGGCCTCTGTCGGCAGCTACCCAAACCCAAGGGCTCACCTGGGGCCTGTAGAAGCAGCACCAGCCTCTGGGAGGAAACGGCCAGAGGAAAGGAAGAGGATGCAATTCTCCACAGGACGTAGCCCTGGTAGCCTAAGGGTTTGGGGCCAGTCCACCCACAACACCTCAGAAAGTGGTGAACAGGTGAGGCAGTGAGTGGTGACCCGGGAAGAATGGGAGGGACAGAGGAGGACACCAGGCAGCCTGCCCCCCACCTTCCCGGCCAGAGTGGAGAATGGGTCCTCTCGGAGGGCTCTGTGGGAGCGAGGAGACAGGGCAAGGGAGGTCAGGCCACCTCCGAAGCTTTACCCCCTCATGCTGCCCCAGGACTCACCTGTCCCCCAGGCCAGGGATGCCTACCAACTGGATGATATAGATCCCTATTTGACAAAAAAATATGAAGAAGAACACGAAGAAGCTGAAAGAGTTGTCGGACCTGTGGAGAGAAGGGGAAACCCAAGGTCATTAAGTGGGCCGGGGGTTCACTCCTCAGTATTCCTCGCTTGGCATTAGGAGCCAGAAGGCAGGATGGGAGCGTAGAAAGCTCCACGGAACCAGCCACACTGGCCAGAGAACACAAACAGCCACAGCCATAATCAGAAACAGCTTGCCACTAACTGCCCTCCAGTTTAAGGGGTCAATGCTTGACCCCTTACTCAAAGAGCTAATAAAGTTGCTCCCCAGAGGATGACATAAAGAACTTAATAGTCCATTTTCTGGGCTATGTACCTGCATTTCATAAGAGACAAGGAAATCGATGCCAAAGACAGAAACACCCAATAATAAAACCACTGGCCTGGGTCAAATAAAAAGCTATTTGGGGAGCACAGAACTGTAGACCAAACCTCCATCCCCATGTCCTCGAGGGCTGGCGTACTGCCCGCAGAGTGCATGGGAAGGTTCTGCCACCGCCTGCCCCCTCTCCCTGGGACCTGCTAGGCTCCCAAGCCTGAAAGCAGCAACTGGGAGGCACAATGCCACAAACGCTAGAGGTCTATGAGATAGATCTGCTCGAGCTCATAGTATCTATTCTCCACCAGCCCGTCTGCACTCAGCAGGCTCAAGAGTTACTGGGGAGGCAGGGGAGAGGCGGAAACAACCTAGGAGCGATAAGCCATGCAGCGCTTATCAAAGTGGACTCCCTAAAGCCTCGGAAGGGAGCTGAAGAAGCCCCGCCCTCTTCCTAGTAACGCAGCAGACCACATGGGAGTGGGTGGGAGCCCAAGGACCCCTCTCTAGGTCTCCCGTGCCTAGTCCAAGGACAGTACTCAGACCCCGGATACAACATCTCAGGAAAATGGGTCCTGAACCCCGTCTGCTCGCACTGTGGATGAGAATGGGAAAGGATTCCCCCACCATCCTGTTCTGCTCCAAGACTGGGATGGGGCCCCTGGGCATAAGGCCCTTGGCCTGCTACCTGGGATGCTAGCCATACACTCCCCTTGCCCCAGCCCCACTCACCTGAAGGCCTTATAGATGGGTCGGTACCAACAAAGGAAGGCACAGGGGGTGAAGATGATAAACCACAGGATGGAAAGGCCGAAGTCCACTCCCTTGGAGCTGTCGACTAAGAACCAGGCCAGGCAAGCAAGCAGGTTCAGAAACAGAGTCACTGAATGCACTGGGGAGGGTGAGGAGAGAGAGAGACAGGCTGGTGCTGAGGGGACAGAAGGGCTCCTGGGCCCAGCAAACCAACCCCAGAGAGGATGTGAGGTCCCTACAGTGAGGGCATCAGCAGAAACGCCAGTCCTTGGTCTGCACCGAGGGAAGGTGAGCTCCCAAATCCTGGTTTTTCTGAGACAGCAAAACCAGGGACCAAACCAATTTCCTAAAAGGTGAGGGTACAGCCCAAGCATATGAAGGAGGGCAGAGGGGGGAAGGGGAGATGCAGACTCAAGGGCTGATCCCTGGGGAAGAAGTCTTTCAGTGACTCTTGTCCCTGGCCCTAGAGGGCCCACAGTGGAGCTATAGGGGGGGGTCTTATATCCGCTCACATTCCTAGGAGCCAAGAGGCCTGTGGGGAGGAAGGCCTTTGTCAAAGGAGGGCGTTTCACGGGCAATAAGCCCCAGAGGAACTCTGCAGCCTCCTGCTAGTCCCACCCTACTCGATCTGTGGTGTGAACTGGGGTGAGTGGGCCCTTTCAGGAGGCTTCCCAGGACAGGGAATAGACAGTGGAGGGCCAATGTGTGGCCAGAAGGCAACCCCCACCCCGACCCCAGCCCAGCCCTGAGGAAGGCTGGAGTCTGCAGTGAGGAGCAGCCAGAGCACAGACAGGGCTCTGGAGTTACAACCCACTTCCCCCTTGCGCTCAGAAGACGCCCCGGACTCACACATCCAGAGATAGTACAGCATCTTGCATATCCGCTGGTAGTCGGCAGGGATCTCCACTGAGAAATCCTGATAGAAACAGGGCTTGACAGGGCACCAGAAGGGCAGGGGCGGCCAGTTGTTCTCTCTTACTGTGGGTGAACAAGCAATGCAGTCAGGCTTGGCCTCTGTAGCAGCATGTGGGGTGCACACTCCTGGAGTTTATGGGCCAAACCAGGGCTCCCAGAAGAGGCCGGCAAGTGGGAGTCAGAATCACTATGGGTAGGGAGTGGGATGGGCAAAGTGGCATGGAGCACGAATATCCACAAGCTACTCCAAGATAATGGATCCCAAATGGAGCAAGAGGGCCTAAGTCATTACTTTTAGGAACAACCAGCCCATAAACACAAGGGCTCATCATCACAAAGATGAGGGGGAGTTGCACACAGGACCAATGCCCTACTCTAGCAAAACCCTCCAGAGCTGGGAAGGAGCATGGAAACAATCTATAGTTTGAGGACCACACTGCAGGTCTCCCGGCCTCCACCTTGCTGCCCTTCTGGGCACTGGCACTAGCGCCGCTGAGATGATCTAGAGCCCAACAAAGCTCCAGGGCTGCCCTGGCCTGAGCAGGCTCAGGGAAGGCTCCTGCGTCAGGCAGGCTGGCCAAGAGGCTGGCAGCCTCCCTTACCGTGTAAGTTGGCCACTGTGTTCTGCAGCTCCTGCTCCTTGCGCTCTAGTTCAGCTGCTTTCCTGTCCAGTTCTTCCTGCTGCCGGAGCAGGCTTGCCTGCGCTGCGGAGGCCACGGCCTGGGGGACACAGAGGGTGGGGGCAGCCGGACACAGGAGACAGAGGGACAGCATCAGCCTGAGCTGAAGGTGGGAGGGCCTTGCCCCAGGCAGGGAGAGCCAATTCCAACCCCATGGTGTCTGGGGTACCAGAGACCACCACAGAGATGCCAAGGCGACCTATCTCCTACTGCCTCAACACCTCTGTCCTCTTAGGTGTTAACCAGCCTTAGGCAGGGCTCGTCTCCCCTTCTTCCCTGGGCTTGAGATTAGAGAACTAACCCCCATTCTAGAATCCAGGCAAAGTTCAATTACAGTGACCTTTTGGGGTAACAGCAAAGGGAAAATGGCCTCACAAGAGACTAACTTCTACAGAAACCCGAAGAGCCACACCTCACCTGAAGAGCCTGGAGGGTGCGTGTGTGAAGGGGACACAGTGCAAACCTGCCAGCAGTGAGTGCAGGGGGCAGGCATTGGAGGGCTGACCAAAACGCACCTAGGGCCTTAGGGATTTAAGCACCACCCCACCCCACCCCCAGGAGCAGCCCCCTGATGTCCACCTGAACTGCAACCGGGTACACCCCAGGCCAGCGCCCTCGGCTGGGCCCTGCTCTGCCTGGCTCTGGTGACATGCACAGTCCAAGCTTTATCCCCTGTCCAGGAAGAGCAAAGCCTCCAGGGAGGCATCCAGGGAGCTTCATGTGAGGCATTCCAGTGCAGGGTCCTGGGCCCCGCTCCTGCCAGGCGCTACAGCCACGGGCGCCTGGCTCCTCCTGAAGTCTACAGTCCTTAGGCAGCGGATCTCAAACCAGTCACCTTGCGGGATGACCAGCCAGGTGTTATGTGTACATACGTACATGTGCGTGCACGTGTACTCATACCCACACTCGCTCTCTTGCTCTCTCCAAAAAGAGTTCTCCGACGAGCTGAGGCTGCCTTCGGAGGTAAGTTTCAGGCCCCAGAGGCAAAAGCAGGACCAGAACTGACCACACTGGACCCTGCTGAGGGTCTTCGCCCTCCCTCCCAAGTCCAGTCAGATGGTGGGAGCAGCTTGGGGCCCATGAGAGTCCAAAACCCGGCTCAGGCCTTGCTCTCACTCAGGCTCATCTACACTTTGCCTACCTTCGGAAGCTTTCGCGTGTAGCTGTCTCTGAGAATACTATCTCCTCCTGGCAGCATCTGCCTCTCTGAGAGCTCCCTCACTGCCAGGAGTCTGGTAGGCAGGAACTCGCTGGCCTGTCTAAGCAACACACACTCCACTGAGGGCCGTGGCCACCAGGGGTAGAGGGGATGGGGGGTAGGGGGGCAGGGTAGCGAGGTGATGGCAGAGAGAGTCAGGCATGAGGCAGACCAGAGCCCCAGCATTTGGTGAAGGGACAGAGGGCAATGAAAGAGGTGAAAAAAAGAAAAGTGAGAGTGCGAGAGGGAGAGAGATTCTGGGCCCCGAGTAAGAGAGGACAAACCAAAGGCTCCAGGAGGATCTGGAATGCCAAAACAGGGGCAAAGGCTCTTGCTCAAGACAGCAAGGACTCCAGCCTGATAAGCAGAGCTTAGTTTCTGGTGGTAGTAGTGGGGCGGGGTGAGGATCGAGGCTGGCTGAGCAGACCCTCCGCATGCAAATGACTAGCTCCAAGGTCAAGAGGGCCCTTGAAGGGGAGCTGGGAATGAAGGCCCTCTGTCCACCCCCACTCCCAATCTCAGGGCTCAGCTACTGGTCTGGGGGCTTCCCTTACTGGAAAGGAGAGGCTAAAAGGATCTCTGTTAATAGTACCTGGGGGGTTGGCTGGGTTGGTTCCACTGAAGGCTGGAGAACCGCCGGCTGCGAGGGCCCAGGGAACTGTGTGACAGGAACAGTTGTTGCTGCATTTGTCTGCATGGGACACACCAAAGGAGGCAGGTGAGTGGCTGCACCAGTCAGCCTGCCAGTGAGGGGCATTGCCCCGAAGGCAGGCCTGGGCCTACCTTTGCGACTTCCTGGCCATCAGTTGAGCCTCAGGCGCTGGGCAGTGTGGTGCTTCACCCAGCACCTCTGGTCTCTTGCTGGAGCCCCAGCTGCCCAGCACAGTCCTGATCTCTTCAGGGAAGGGCCCAGATCACAGATCCCAAGGGAAGAACTGGTGACTTCTTCACCCTTCCCCCCCACCCCAAGCCCACTAGGGCTATCCCTTTGAGGACGGAAGTTTCTCAGAGCTGTTTCTGCCTCTGCCAAGGCCCCTTGCCCCAGAAACCTAGCACCAGCCAAAGGGCCCAGGGACTCAGAAAGAGGGCATGCTCACCAACCTCTGAGAAGGGGTTGAATTCCGCCAGGCCACCCTGTGGAGCACTGGTCAGCTGGGTCACAGAGGGATCCTGGGAAGGTAACAAAAAACAGCCGTGAGACACCCGGGAGAAGAGAGAACCCTGATGAAGGGGAGGGACATCACTGTCCCTTGGCCCCTCCCAGGGATACCTGGCTGGAGGGACACTGCTGAGCCCCTTCCTGGTGCCCTGAAAAGCCTCTCGGGAAGGCTCCTGTGCCCAGCCCCTGCCACACAAGAGCTGTGATCTCTTCTAGAAAAGGACAAGTTCAGCCCCAATGACTTCCCAGGAAAGACCCAGAACAAGCTTCCCACTATGAGACCTCGGAATAGATACCACCCATGTCCTTGTTAGTGTCCTTTCCAGATTCAAAATGGTTCACAGCATTTACCTCCAGGGACTGGGGGCGTGGGGGGCCATGGGGGGGTGGTGTAGAGAATTATTTTTTACTTCATAACCTTTCTCTACTGTTGTATTTATTATTTTACAGGAAGCACTTATTCCTCTCCATTTTTAAAGGACAGTTTAAGGTTCTGGAACAAAAACGTGCTGCTGGCTGCCAGTGCTGGTTTTATTAAATCAGGCACACTTGCTAGGAATAGAGAGGCATGAAGGGCTCAGATGAAAAGCCGGGAAAATGTTTTTGGGGTTTTTTTTCTGGATTCTTTTCAAAAAATCCAAAAATGTCCTCAGAACACAGTCTTTTCCTGAGTTTTCCTTCCTGAGTCTTCCCTTCCCCATCTGACCTCTGCCAAGGCCAGCCCTCTGGCCTAGGGCCTGCACAGCACTCCCTGTCATCTCCTTCTCCCCAGCATCCCCCGGCTGGCCCAAGGTCAACAGGCAGTGGCCTCATCCTGCCTCCTCCTCACCCTCTATCATCCATCCCTTCCCCTCTCCCTTCCCCGCATATAATAGGTATGGGGCTCAGGTCCAGCTCCACAGCGATGCCTGGGCTCTGGAAGAAAGAGCTGTAAAGGATGGGCTCAGGGCCACTGGACTCTGCCAAGTTCCTGGTTACAGGCCTCCCCTGGCCCGCCTCTGTGTATCTAACCCTCCCAACCCCCAACCCTCACTACGGTCCACATGCTCCCGTTCTGCTGGCCCAGCTTCACCTCCACTAAATGGATTCTCAAACACGGTATTCACATGAGACAGGCCTTCAGAGGACAATCCCCTCACAGGTCAGATGTGGAAACAGACCCTAACCATGGCACTGTACTTGTCTTAGGTCTCAAAATGGCTGGCTCCCTATTCCGTACATTCACAAAACCAAGGGTCAGCTGTGAGTGTTCTCTCTGATGTTTTTCACACACACCAATTCTCGTCTGATTCCTGACCGGTGAGACTGGCTGGCTGGCTCCCGGGCCTAGCCCAGAGCTGGTCATGCAGCTCCAACTCCCTTCTTCTCTCTGGATACCTCATCTCTCTGCACCCCATCCAATTTCCTCTGCTGGCCACCATCCCCGCCTAGTGGCCCCTGCAACTTGGGACAAAATGACAAGGTGAGGTTCAGAAGGCCAGCTGAGCTGGAGGAACTGGCCTTGAGGTTATTCATTGGCTGAAAGATTAGCAGATATCTCCCAGAATCACTGGGCTGGCTTCTTGCATGAAAGATTTGGGGCTCGGGCTCTGTTCCCCTTTTCGACCCAGCAAAGCACCAAGCCACAGCAGACTGTGTGAGCTGAAGTCACTGAAATCAGATCCACCATCCAGGGAACTGGTTACCTGAGTCTGTGTCACAGGACAGAGGACAGAGAGGTGGCTCTGGTAGCAGTTTTGGGTGCTGGCCCACATGTCTGCCTGAGGTGCATACGTCTTAACAGGCAACCTCCAGACCATGAAGAGAGGTCATTTCCTTTACCAAGGTCAGCCAGAAGAGGATTCTGGGGGTGGGCGAGCGGACTACTCTGCCTATGGTGAGCTCTCTCCTGCTTTTTTCTAAAATCTTCAGCACTTGGTCCTGGACCCCTCACCAGACTCACCACAAATCCTGTCTCGGCTAGCAGGCCATAAACTTCTGTGGCCAGATGCCTCTGTATCTAGTTCAAACTTCCAGCTCCTAGTGTTTGGTGAAGGGCCTCATGTGGAGCAGAAGCTCATGCGATCTCGAAGCTGATGTTCGAGAGCACCTGCTGCGTGCTCTCCTCCACTTTCTCTGGGGAGGTACTGCCCGAAAGCTAGGGGGCGCCTGTGCCATTGCAGCAGCCCCAGGGCCCAGAAGCACCCTGCCTCAGAAGAGGGGCCTAGAACACTCGGGCAGGCCTGGGCTCCTTCTGAAAGATGAGAAGCTTAGGCCTGGTGGGAGAGGAAGGGAGCTGACATTTACTGGGGATCTACTATGTGCCAGGATGACACAGTGATGCTAGAGTAAAGTTCTAGTCACCCCAGAACAGGTCACGTTGTCAAGCCGTCAGATATGAAGGTTCTACCAGCCTTCTTCAACCTGATTCCTTGAAAGAATTATGGCCCAATGCCCTAAGGCAGCCACCGTCTGCAATGAGCTGCCTTCTCCCCCGTGCATCTACAGTAGTTCTGGTTCTAATCCATCCTTGAGAGAATGGAGAAAACCCTCACTTCAACCAGCTTCCGTGCTCTGCAGCTCAGCTGAGCAGCCCTGGCCGAGAAAAGCCACACCCCCCCACCCCCAGCTTCAACATCATGACCACCCTGCAAGGAATGATTCTCTTTAGTTTGAGGCTGGAGAAAGCCCCAGCTCACAAAGGGGAAGTAGGTTTGTCCAAGATCGCAGGGATGGTGGCTGAGCCAGATCCTGAATTTGTCTATCTCCAGGGACACAGTGGCAAGCCTGAGAGGGGAAGGCTTGTTCAGCAGTGCACCCCCAAAGCCTGCGGCAGTTGACAAACAGAAGGTGCTCCATGTGTGACTGAATGAAGGAACCCCACTCCTGAGGAACACAGGGCATGTGACTGACCAGGACAACGGTTTCTGTTCGGTTTTTTATTCCTGGACTTCAGGAAGTCCTTGGGGGATACTCATGGCCGGAGACATGCAGAGTCTTGCACGAAAGACCACACTGGCTGGTCTGAATGAAGACCCTCGGCTTCTACTCCAAACCACAAATAAGAAGCCCACAGCAGCTACGTCCTTTCCTACTCGCCAAACGTCAGCTGACTCGTAAGTGGGTCAAGTAGTTATTTCAAGAGATGGCAAGAGCTAAGTTTCACCTATAGACAGGTAACCCAAAACCCACTTGGTACACAAAGGACTCAGACTGCCTGATGCCCTTTGCCGAATCTGTAACAAAGAAAACACGCCTGCACTCAGTTCTTTCCATTTGGGGAACAGTCCGGGTGTGAGGGACACACCAAGACAAAGAGGGTGCATTGCCCTACCAGAGCCAATGATGGATGATCCTAGCAGAGACATGTGTGCACAGCACAAGAGCCCAGGGCAGAGTGAAGAAGGGAGGGGAGGAGAAGGAAGGGGAGACCCCGGAGGGGAGGAGAGGCCCACCACCACTGGAGAAGGGGAACCCTTCGTGGAGACGCAGTGTCAGAGAACAGAGGGAAAAGAAGCAGGCAGGCAGGCAGGCTGGAGCTCGGCCGGGAAGGGCCGGGGAAAAACATACTTGTTTCCAGTCTGGCAGTCACTTTCCATGTCACAGGTCCTGGCTGCGCTTAAGCTGTGACTTTGCCATCCTACATTCCACCCAAGCTCCCCGTGTGGGATTTATTTCAGGCTCCAAATAAACACATTAAATAAACACCTCATGAATAACAACAACAACAAAACACTCAGCCATTCTCTTTGAGAGGCAGTTACCAAGACTTTGGAACCTCTGTGAAATCCTATTTGCTTTGGAGACAAGGCTGTGTGTCATATGACTAAAAAGGGCAATCGTCCCCAGACTGGCTGGCTGGGTCCCAAGTGAAAAGAGCCACAGTGAACCTTGGTACTCTCTTACCTGAGAACCCATCCTGGGGAAATAGGATAAAAATATATAAGAATCTGGATCTGCAAAGATGTTTATTGCACCAGTATTTACAACAGGAGGGAAAAAAATCAGAGGCTCCTGGGTGGCTCAGTTGGTTGAGCATTTGATTTTGGTTTCCGCTCAGGTCATGATCTCAGGGTCATGAGATGGAGCCCTGCGTCAGGCTCCGCGCTCAGCGAGGAGTCTGCTTAAGATTCTGTCTCTCCCTTTCCCTCTGCCTCTCCCCCAACTCACTCTCACTTTCTTTCTAAGAAATAAATTACCAAAAAAAAAAAAAAAAAATCCAGAATCAACTTAAACGTCCAATGACAGTGAGCAAAGAATGTTTTGGTACACAACCCCCCCGATGGTCTAAACAGCTGTTAAAAATCATAGCTACGGACACAGGGCAGCAACACAGAAAAGTGCTTTGTTATATGAATCCCAAATAACAATTTTGTCAAAAGTGCTCATATGAAGAGACTGGCAGGAAAATGCATCAAAATAGCAATGGTTTCAAAAGGCAAGAAATTGCAATGATCTATTTTGTCTTCCAAATTTTCCATGTGATTACATTATTTTTCCCTTCAAAGCACATGTACCCACGCATTTTTAAAAAGAGCCTGAGGACCCACCAAATGAGCAAGGTGCAGGCAGGGCCTCTCTCTCCTGCAGCCCAGGAAAGTGAGGCTAAACCACCAGCCGGGCTCCCAAGGCCCTCCTGGCCCTGGCGCCCGCGCCCCAGGCAGGGCCTGTCTGCGGTCACACAGACCACCTGCCCCCTCCTTCCACCTTTGTCTCCTCCCTACTCAAACCATCCCACACCAAGCACAGGGCTAGGATGCTGGAAAAAAAGCCTTGGTTCCTGCCCTCAAGAAGCGGACAGTGCAGAGAACCAGTAGGCAGGAGGGGAAGTGTGGCAGGAGGCACCCTGGAAGCAGGCAAGGCCAGGCACCTTCACAGGGGAAGAAGGGACTAAGCACTCGGGGAGGCAGGGAAGGCTGTATACTCAGGCGCTGCCTGAGCTGGATCTCGAGTGATGACAGATGTGTAGCAAGCATGGAGGAGGGAGGCAAGAGCAGCATTTGCAAAGGCACAGCAGCTCTACAGGATGTGG